AAATCTGAATTAAGATTGTTTCCTATACTTTAATAAGTTTTGACTATACTTAACTTGCAAATAACAACATATTTTTTTATTTGAAGTTTAATAATTTTTAGATTTTTTTTAATGAGACTATCCTATGTTTTCCACCAAATTTTTTAAGATAGCATTTGTGATAGTTGCACGTTTTAAAAGTTTTAATAAATAATAGTTCTAACTAATACATATAATTAGTAAGAATATTTTTTAAAAAAATACATATTTATTATAAATAACTAATTTATCTTATTTTTTAATCTATTTAAATTAATCAATTAATTTTTATATTACAAATTGGAGGTAGTATTTAGGATTAAGATGCGAATTTAACAACCACGTTTCACAAAAAAAAACAGCTCGCACCATTAACTTTTGAAGAGTTCTAAAGTAAACATAAATATTAACAAAAAAAGTTTTTTAACCACACCCGTTTAAAGGCTTAAAAGTGAAGTTCATAGCATCATCATTGTCCTCGTTGTCAGCAAGATGCAGGAATAGGGTGGTTTTATAATTGTCAACGTTAGGCCTTTAAACAACTGTGATTAAAAAGCATTTCTTTTTAATGTTTATGTCTAGTTTTAGTATCCTTTAAAAATTAATGGTGCCAGCTGTTTTTTTGGTAAAACATGATTGTTAAATCCACGTGTTAACCTTAGTGTTTATTATCCATAAAGATTAACGACAGTTTTATTTTTTATTTGTTTAATATTTCATGCCAAAATGGGGTTACTCTATAATTTATGAAGCGGGCTGCTCCCTTGCTTTTGGCCTTTTTCCTTGCGTGCGCGCCTCATTCCGCACTCATCCAAATTAAAGTACGGTCGTTTCAGAGCAGCGGACAGGCAGCATGCAGTGTCAGCAGAGGGAAGCCCAACCCTAGGCTATGGGAATTCATAGTTTAATCACTGCAACTTGTACGGCAATAACATAAGGAACCACGGCTCTTATCTTGTCATAGATAACGACCAGGCTTTTGTTTGTTTGTTTTGTTTTGCCAACGATAATGACCAGTTATTGGAAGGTGTGCTAAAGATGATTTAGCAATTGATGGTTAAATCTTGACAAGAAGTTGATTATTACCTTCTTCCAACCTTTTTTTTTTTTTTGACCCTTTCAAAAAGTAGGGTTATTAAAGTCATTTTAGATGACACAATGATTCGATTTCCATCCACAAAACTTGCAGCGTGTTTTTAGATTTTTAAAATCCTCCGGCGAAACATTGATACTCAACACACTGATAAATAATATCTCCGTCCTAATTATAAGAGTTAATTAATTAATTTGAAAAAATTAAAAAAGTAAATTGAATTAGTTATTTATTCTAAATAGTTATTGTCTTTCCTAAAATATCCTTACTAATCAAGTGTGTTGACTAGAACTCATTATTATAATGGTTACTTTAGAAAAAATGTATAAATATGAGAGACAAAATGAATTGGGATCTTATATTTAGAATCAAAATAAAAATCAAATAGAATCTTATATTAAAAATTAAAAATAGTACTACCTCCGGTCCTTAATATAAGATCCCATTTGACTTTTTGTTTGGTCCTAATTATAAGATCCCAATCTATTTTTTCTCTCATATTTATGCATTTTTTTCCAAGATAGTCCTTCTAATAATAATAGTTTTAGCCAATACACTTAATTAGCAAAGATATTTTAGGAATGACAACACTTATTTATTACAAATAACTAACTTAACTTACTTTTTTAATCTCTTCAAATAAATTAATTGGGTCTTATAATTAGGATCGGAGGTAGTATATAATTTGATAACTTAGGACAAAACTTCCGAGACACATCCCCGCCTAGTGCTGTAGAGGGGAGACGTGGGGCAACCGAGGCCATGTGGATTCTTTTTTTTTTTGGCCATGTGGATTCGGCTCCCTAGGAAAAGTAGGTTCAGAAAAGGACAAATCATATTTTGATTCTCAATTATTTAATGGTCCAAACGGGAATTAGATTCTCTCCATTACCCTTCCCATTCTCTTTCCCTCCATTATCATCTTTTTCTCTTTACAGCTATTGGATCAAAACTCTAATGGTCCAGATTTAATATTTTATAACATTTTATAAAAATAAATATTATGATAAAAAATAGATAAATCATAAATAAATTTAAACTGTTAAAATCTAATCTGAACAGTTCACAACTACAAACTGTTATTATAGAGCAATTTTTTAGAATTTTTTTATTACAATTGTAAACTGTTCAAACCAGTTTTTAATAGTTTAAATTTATTTTATTTTTTTTAATAACATTATTTTTATAAGATGTTAAATCTGGACTATTGGAATTTTGATCCAATGGTTGTGAAGAGAAAAGAAGGGTAGTGGAGGGGAAGAGGATGGGAAGGTAGTGGAGAGAATCCAAGTCCGTTTGGGTAACCCCAAATCACTTTTTAAAAGCATTTTTACGTAAATCGAGATAAACTCCTCCACATATTTACTTCGTATACCGTAAAAACACTTTCTGAAATCATGATTTTAAGGGGTGTTTGGCAACCTCTAAACTATGGTTTCAGAAACACTTTTTCGTAAAACGAGACAAATCCTCCACATATTTATTTCGTAAACCGTAAAAGCACTTCTGAAATCATTGTTTAGTTTCTATCCAAACACCCCCTTAATCTTACCCAAACACCCCCTTTGTAACAGTTTGTGGTACCCTCTTATCAGTTGCTGGCAAATTAAATAAGTATACTCTTGTAAAGATACTTTCAATATTTTCACAGCAGAAGCTTTAAACCACGTTAAATTTGGCTTGAAAATTTACTGACTTTTAAATTTTAACCGTATCTAATATGTATAATTAAAAAATAAAATAATGAATCGAAGATGAATTTATATAAAAAAAATTGGTGATGTGACTTATAAATATAATAAATAAATTCTTTTTCTGACTTATAAATAGAATTATGAGAGTATTCATCATTTGATTTTAAGCACGCTGTTTTTCTAAATTTTTAACGAGGAAAAAGATAATATATAAAAGAAGTTAATGATGTAATTTATAAACACAACAAAAAAGTTAAGGATGTCATCAAGTTTGTGGCATTTTCACCGGGAGAAGATAGCATACTCACATGTGATGAAGGCAATTGTGAGCAGGGTCAATGAATATATTCCATATTTTTGTTTAAAAATTGAGTTTAATGAGTAATATATAATAAAACAAAATCCCTCTCCAATTTTGACTTGACGTGACGTACGAGTACTACTTCTTATTAGGGTGATTAAAACCGAATCGTAATTGAAAAGGCGAAAACCAAATCAAACCGAATTCAATTTTAGTTTTTCAATTCGGTTTTTATTTTTTAACAATTCGGTTTGGGTACTCGGTTTGGTGAGTAAAAAAAAATCAGTTATAACCGAAAACCAAAATAAATATATTATATATTTATATTTAATAAATATTATTATAATAAATATATATGGGTGTATGTGAACTCTTTAAATATATTTATATTCAATAATATAGTTATAATGAGTATTATTATAATAAATCACATTAAACCATGAAATATTTATTAATTAATGGCTGTAATTGTGTTTTATTATTATTTTTAATATAAAATCACTTTTTATATTTATATATTTCGGTTAATCAGTTACCCGAATCAAAATAATTCGGTTTTGGTTAGTTTGGTTAATCGGTTTTCGGTTTGATGTTTAAAAACCCCTCTATTCGGATTATTTTAGTTATTACTAAAAACCAAACAAAAAAATTGAATACTCACCCCTACTCCTCACCCTTTTATTTTATTCCTTCTCCCACCCGTAGGTTCCACTCCCCCAATTCCTTGCGTAAACAGTACTTTTAGTCTTAATTATAAAAGCTAATTGATTAATTTGAAGAGATTAAAAAAAGTTAAATTAGTTATTTATAATAAATATGTATTATTTTTTTAAAATATATTTGCTAATCAAGTGTATTGGCTAAAACTGTTATTATTAGAAAAATATATCAAAAAACTATATAAATATAAAAGATAAAATAAATTAAAATTTTATATTTAAAATCAAAATAAAAATCAAATCAAATTTTATATTAAAAACCGGAGATAACACACAGAAGCATTAGTCCAATTTCAATAAAGGCTAGAAAAGGACTCATATTTAGTGGAGCACAGGCGGCATAAAATGTGCAACAGCCAGGATAGCGTTATTTCCACGAGGATATGGACAGGCGGCAAAAAAAAAAAGAAAAAAAATTTCCAAGATGGCGATTTCCAAGTATGGATATGGAAATTTGTGAAAGAGAACAGGATTAGACGGACTTGGATTCTCTCCACTACCTTTCCATCCTCTTTCTCTCCACTATCTTTCTTTTCTCTTCATAATCATTGGATCAAAATTTTAATAGTTCAGATTTAACATCTTATAAAAATAATGTTATTAAAAAAATAAATAAATAAATTTAAACTGTTAAAAACTGGTCTGAACAGTTTACAATTGTAATAAAAAAATTAAAAAAAATTGCTCTATAATAACAGTCTGTAGTTGTGAACTATTCAGATTAAATTTTAACAGTTTAAATTTATTTATCTATTTTTTATCATAATATTTATTTTTATAAAATGTTATAAATTATTAAATCTGGACCATTGGAGTTTTGATCCAATAGTTGTAAAGAGAAAAGAAAAGTAATAGAAGAGAAGAGGATGGAAAGGCTAGTGGAGAGAATTCAATTTCTACCCAAACACCCTCAAAGTAGCCTTACGTTAACGTTTGTGATCGCAAAATTCTCTCAAAAGGCGGACACATACACACACGTGCTTATATAGAAGCGATGGATAATATGTCAACGAGATTAAATTTAATTAATAAGTTACCCTTGAAAACCCACATTTAATAATTACGGTGAATGCGGGAAGGTACGGGCTATGCTAACAATCAATAAAGCCAACAAGAACAGGCCGGTCACTCAACCCAAACCCGTGTCCGCCACTCTCCACCAAGCGATGGCCTCTCATAAAAGGCACCCTTCGTTGTTGTTTCCTTTGCGTCTCTGTCACTGCCTCTCGCCCGGCACACCCTTTCTGTTACCTTCCCTCGTATTCCTTCTTTCCGGTAAGCTCTTCTTTTCTTTTTTCTTCATCCTTGTGTTCCGTCGTTCATAATGCATTCCCCTCACACACACTCATGTCGATATAGTCTTCCCTGTTATGACTATTTTCTATAGTACTATAGAGCCTGGGCAGAACCACTCCCTCCGGGCATGCCAAATAGCAAAAAAATCCAAAAAATTACGCCGCAGCATATCAGCAACAGGATGTGCGCGCGGTTTTTGTGAAACGTTTTGTTTCGATTGTCGCCATCCCTCTTAAATGCTTGTGATTTCAGCGTGGCCATGTGAAAACATGGGGCGGTTTCAAGAGGCTGCGTTCATGGCCGAAGTGGCGCCGCCCAGGTTTTGACTCTTTAGGGCATACTGAATATTATCTGGCAATTTTAAATTGGGAATATCAACAATATTCCTGAACCTACATGTGAGAAAACAAAATGGTTTAATTTTCTTACGACTCACAACTTAATTAAGTGCAGCTTTCCAAAGAGAAGTTCAGACTATGTTTGGATTCTGATGCATTATGACCTGCAAATCAATAAAGAGATAGGAAAAACTCACCATAGAACCATGGGCTCTACAGGCTGGGTATGATATTGCATCTCTGTTAGAGTATTGGCAACCGACTTAGTCAGACCTAGATTTTACAAACTACAGCTGTCAGTAAGATATTGTTTGGTTGAAAGGTTTCTAGAAGGAGGAAAGGGGAGGAGAAGAGAAATTATGTTTGGTTTTAAAAAAATAGAAGGGAGGGGAAATTTTTTTTTTGTCATTTAGTGCCCTCTTATCTTTTTTTTTTTTTAATCCAAATTTAAGAGTTTTTAGAAGGAAAAGAAATATTATATCTCATAAATTATTCATGTTAGTTTTATAATATTTCAAGTTTATTTTTTTTGTAAATTTTTTTCCACTCTTTTTTCTTTTTAGCTCCTACTATTTTTTAGGGATCTTTTTCTACTCTCCAGGGGTTCTTTTTTTTTTTTTTCCTGCATATTTCTTTTCCTTGATTTCATCATTTCCCACATGTTTTGTCGTTAATCTTTCATATCTTTTTCTCTTGTCTGATCTTTTAACTTATTTATCTCAATTTCATTCTTTTACATAGAGTATAAAACTCTGTGTATTATCTAATTAAGTATGTGAGGTTATGCACATTATATAATTAAAGATGGAATAGTTTAAAACTTATAACATAAATTTATTTATAATTTATATAATATGTTAAAGATTATAATTTTTTTTATTGACATTTATTTTGATATATGTTTATTTATAATCTATTTGTTATGTTTCAAGCTATTTGATTTTTTCATATTCACAAATTAGAAAATAATAATTATGATATAAATATCATGATAAAATAATAAAGAAATCTAAATAAAAAGATAAGGATATATTTGTCAACTTATAATTAACTCTCTTTCCTTCTCCTCCTAAACCAAACAAAAAATCTCTCATCTCTTCTTTTTCCCTTCAACCAAACAAAACTCATACTCTCTCCTTCCCTTAATTCATCTCCCGTCCCCTTCCCTTTATTGAACTAAACAAAGTCTAAGTTAAGGTACCAAACTACTCCTTCTGTTCCTTATTATAAGAGACATTTGATGCTTATGGCATGTTCCTATATATAAGAGACATTTAAAAGTTGTCTCTACTTTTTTGTGTTGATTTTTTTTTATCCCTATTTATTTTGTCTCCAACTCATACTCTTTCTCCCTTTTACTTCTTTTTCTTTTAATAATTTAATTGTTCTCTTTCATACTCTCTCTCCTTATTAATGGGGGTATTGTTGGAAAAAAATTATACTTTTTACACAATAATTGTCCTCAACTAATTTTAACTGTTTTTTTTATCAATATAATTTGGTTATTTGTCTCTTATAATAAGGAACGGAGGGAGTAACATCAAAGGACGCGTGTGTTCCAATTCTATCGCTTTCGTCCTTGCTTCTTTCTTGTTTTCAGTTCGATTCTTGCTTTCTATTCATTCTTTGTGCTGCAATGGTGTGAACGATTCCGTTCCTAATTCTTCAGCTCAAGACAAGATACTAGGCAGGTTACAAATAAATAGAAAAACCAACCAAGAAGAAGGCAGGTTACGCATTTACTATTGTTGATATTTAATAAAAGAACTAAAATACATTAATCATAAATGTGCCTCGTTTTCTGGAGCCAATACAGCGCCACGCCTATTACTTGTGTGATAAAAGGACAAACCACAAAAGGAAATGGTCTGAGAAAGTCACAGGATGCCTTTCCTTTCCTCTGAACGAAGAGGCCTAATGTCCTTGCGCTACTACATTCATATAAGAAGCGCATTCTTTGACATGCTAATACTGCAATGCACGAGCTGTATTAACTTGCATCTCTTCCAGAGTGGTGCAAATGGGAGACGAGTTAAAGGAGAGGCTCTTGCAAAGGCAAGGAGACAGAGAGGAAGCAGAGCCACTTAGCAAAAGGGTGTGGAATGAAAGCAAGAAAATGTGGGTGGTGGCAGGGCCTGCCATATTCACCAGATTCTCCACCTTTGGTATACAAGTTGTTAGCCAAGCCTTCATTGGCCATATTGGCTCCATTGAACTTGCTGCCTATGCCATCGTCATGACTGTCCTAATCAGGTTCGCTAATGGTGTACTGGTAAGTACCCATCTTTCCATTTCCTTTTCTTCAGAATCTAATTTAGCTTGTTTATCATGCTTGTGGTTATGGAGCCAATCATCTACATGGTACCCTTGTGTAGAAATTTATGTTGAGATCAAAATCTCAGAATTGGAACTGTTCTGGATTGAGAATTGCAGCTGGGGATGGCAAGTGCTCTGGAAACTCTTTGTGGGCAAGCATATGGAGCGAAACAGTATGAGATGCTAGGAATATATCTTCAAAGATCGTGGATAGTGTTGTTCTTGACTTCACTCATTATGCTTCCTATTTTCATCTTCACCACCCCAATTCTGGAGTTTCTGGGCCAAGATAAAAGTATTGCGGAAGTAGCAGGGAGCGTTTCTCTGTGGGCGATAGGTATGATATTTGCTTTCATCGTGTCTTTCACCTGCCAGATGTTCCTGCAAGCACAGAGCAAGAACATGATAATCGCCTACCTAGCTGCACTTTCTATTGGAATTCACATTCTGCTGTCGTGGCTTTTGACTGTTAAGTATAAGTTAGGGCTCAATGGGGCAATGATATCAACCCTTCTGGCATACTGGGTTCCCAACATAGGTCAACTCATGTTTGTCATGCTCAAGTGCCCTGATACATGGAAGGGCTTCTCATTTTTGGCTTTCAAAGATCTCTGGCCTATAATCAAGCTTTCCCTTTCATCCGGAGCAATGCTGTGGTAAAGACACTAGTATTTTTTACACCATCAATCTTTAAGATTATGCAGAACCAATGAGCAGCTGATTGACTAATGGCTGACATTGAGTTACATGTGATTGTTTCAGTCTTGAGTTATGGTACAACACAATTTTGGTGCTTCTAACTGGGAACTTGAAAAATGCCAAGGTCGCCATTGATGCTCTGTCCATTTGGTAGCTCAACCTCATCAAACTCCACTGTTACTATTCTTTCTTAATTCCACTGTTTCATTGCTCTAGAAAACTAACACCATACTTTTGCAGCCTCAACATCAACGGATGGGAAATGATGATAGCACTTGGATTCTTTGCTGCTGCTAGGTACTACTTAATTGACAGTCATAAAAAATTTGAAGCATTCAAATCAGCTCAATAAATTATAAAAGAAACTGAATTTTGGTTTACTTTACAGTGTGCGGGTGTCAAATGAGCTGGGTAGAGGGAGTCCAGGGCTGCGAAATTTTCCATCCTGGTGACAGTGATGACATCATTTGGAATAGGATTCATACTATTCATAGTGTTCCTGTTCTTGAGGGAGAGGCTTGCTTACATATTCACTCCGAACCCGGAGGTGGCTGCGGCAGTTGGGGACTTGTCACCTTTGCTCGCTTTTTCGATGTTAATGAACAGCATCCAACCCGTGCTCTCTGGTAACATCTTCATTCTTCATATTCAGTTACATAATAGGAAATGGGATTCATTACATTTCTATATCTTTTTTTCCTTGCTGGTTAAAAGGAGTTTCTATTGGAGCTGGTTGGCAAAGCATCGTAGCATATGTAAACATAAGCTGTTATTATCTGATTGGGATCCCTGTTGGAGTTGTGCTCGGTAGAATCATCCATTTGCAAGTGAAGGTGAGCTATCATTTGATGATATGACATACTTTGTCTTCCCAGAAAATGGAAAAAGAGTCTGATATATTGAATGATCTGGTTCGCAGGGTATTTGGATAGGAATGTTATTTGGAACATTTGTTCAAACTGTTGTGCTCATTATCATCACATACAGAACTGATTGGGACAAGCAGGTATTGGACTCGTTTGTATTTTATACTCAGTCTGCATCATTTGTGAATTTCGATTTAATGAATTGATAGCAGAATTTGAGGTAGTATTTGCATAATCTACAGGTAGAGATTGCTAAGCGTCGCGTTAAGAAGTGGGCTGTGGTGGACACTGAAGAATAAAATGGCAAAATTGCATTTTGGCCCATCTGCTTAGTGCGTGTTTGAGAAACGTGGCTTACTTCAGCAAAACACCGAAGCATCCCTGAGAGGATGCTCCTGCGTTTTACTGACTATAAACGTGATTCTGAATGCCCTAACACACCCCGTCCTATCATCTCTAGCTTTTCATGGGACATTTGTATTGATCCTTGCTTTTAATTCCTTGCAAATTATTAAGAAGAAGAAGAAGAAATAGAGATTGCTACTTGCCCTTTATACGTGTGCCTGTGTGTATATTTTTCGAGTTTCTTCCTCTTTTATATTGTTTTGGTTTATGATTTGTAATTTATCCCTATCAATATAGAGCGAGAATGATATGTACACTGAAGTTTACCACAAATGTTAATACTGATATGATGCTTATTAGTTAAATGTAACTGTGAATTTAAAATGCTTGGTTGATTTTTTTTCCTTTTTAAAGAAAAAGATAAAGAAAATTTTGTGTGGTTCGCATTAATTTACACCTAATGCTGATTAAATATAAGTAGTAACTGGGATGTCGCGTCAATTTTGGTTTTTTTCAAAAAAGAAAATGCGTCCAATGTAGACCAGAAATTGCATACATGATTACCTGGTTCGGTTTCTATCAGCAGCCAGTGAAATAAAATAATAACAAAACAAAAAAGACGACGACAAATCTGTTTTCCGCGAGCATGGCAATAACAATTCTAATTGTTGAATATGTTCATAAAATATTAATAAAAACCAAAAGCAGGGTTAACAAAAAATTAGGTGACTCAGGACATGTGCATCAATTTTTTTCAGGAATGATGTGGTGTCTTGGCTCAACAAAAAATTGAGTGACTCAAGCTTGGATATTTCTTCAAAGACTGGGCTTTGCAAGACTGACTGGAAATTGTGAGAAGTCAGGAACCATCATATTTTCACCCCTGAGACTTATATGACTGAAAGTATACTTGCTGACATTAGAATTAAAGTTGACCACACTGTAAAGAATTTTTCTGTCCTTAAAATTTTCCTGTAAAATCTTTCTCCTGCACAGTCTTTTTTGATGAATTGAAATCTTCCCTTTTTATTTTTTTAAAAAAAGCAAATGAAAATTGGAAAAATCCCAAAAAATGCCTTTAAATTTGAAAACCCCAAATCAGAAATAACTAACAAAATGTGTTATTATTTGCTTTTCAAATGTTGTCAATTGTTATTAAAATATAATAAGTAGAACTGATTTTAAATTTTGAAATTTAAAGATATTCTTTTGCGAATCTGTTCATATTTTAAAGTGGTTGGCAATTTTAAAAATAACTAATTCATTATGCAGTGTATAGATCGTTCAAAATCCGCGCGCAACCTAATAGGGTCCCTTCATCCCCCTATTGTTTTGTGTTGTTGTCGGATCTTTATGTTGATCAGGCAGGACAAGAATTTGTTGGGTTTATTTTCTTGTTTCTGTTAAACTGTTTTTTCAGGTACAGACCGGTTTGAGGTAATCTCATGTTGGGCGCTAAATTTTCTTTCAATTCTAAATATAAAACCCTTATACACACTAATATAAGAATCTTATATATATGACCGGAAAAGTACGAGCATGTCTCATAGATCTAATCAGTAATCCCCCCCTTTTTTTTTGGTTAACTTAAATAACAATAATTTTCCTTTTGGCCAAGCCAAAAAAGGTTGGGTAGCAGCTTAGTGGCTCTAAAATTGGTGGATATGACCAACGGGATTAGATTTAGCGGAAGGGACTAGTCTCCCACAACGTGGTGAATAAATGTTCAAATCCCCGCTGAAAGAGGTATCTACATTTACTACCTGACAGTACCTCGAATAGGATTGCCTTCAATAGGAGGATACATATACTTTAGCAAAAACAAAAAAAAATTGGTGGATATGTGGGCTGATCTAGCACATCCAGGCCAGCCCATCTTTAGCCTGGGAAGAACTAGGCCCAATTGAATCAAGAGATGCTTTTTTGAGATTTTTTTGGAGATGGAATCTATCAATTTAACCCATTTATTCCCATCGTTTTTATGTGACGAAAAAAAAAAAATCCCATCGCTTTTAATTTCTATAAAATTTTGCCCATTTTTAATTTTAATAAATTGATAAGAATTAAAAGAGTATTATAGCCTATATCCCACTTTCATATCTAGCATGGTTAAATTTGAAATCGGGCATACTGAAATTCATAATATTAAATCAATTGATGCAACCCACATTAAGTAATGAAATAAAGACAAATCATTGTTAGTTCATATGAACATCGACATGATTTATCTTGGCCGAAGAACATTAACATGATTGATTGTTGAGTTAAGCTGAGCAAGTGTTTGAATTAATTTATTTTAAATAATTCTACGTTGAATGAGACGAATATATAAGAATTTTTTTTGGGTACAAATAATATATAAGAAAACTTTTATCATCATCATTATTTGAATATATTAGGACAGGCCATATTTGCAGCCCTATCATTCGCACGAAAATTTTATTTAATGAGTCATGTGTGGCTAAGAAAAATGAAATTAATTTTTTTCTGAGCAAAAGGTATCATTTTATACTTTTATTAAAAATAATCCTATCAATTGAATATCTATTTTAAATAGGATAAAATCTCGATTCACTACGTTACATTATATTATTATATGGGAGTCCCCTTCCACCAATGCCAATGATTATTGATTTACAAGGAGAAAAGAAATGAGAGATGTGAGGAGAGCGGCTTGACTTTTCAGAGGATGGTCCCCAGAAGAATGGGATGGAGGAGTCCTAATTGCGTTCCTCACACATTCTTGGGGCTCAAGGGATTCACCCACCCCGCCTCGCCTCCCGTCACGTGTCCATTTTAAATGATTTAATGGCCACTTCACTGACTTTTGACGTGTTTGACCTCTATGAAATTCAGTTATTTATAAAAACATATTCCTAACATATCTCTTTAATTGTTTACATCATCGTTAACAATTTCCTCCAACAGTTACAATTGAATTTATATATGTACAAGATTAATCTCAACCTTAAATTAATTCTTTATTAATTTAAAACTTAATTAATCCAAGTAAAACAGCTATAATCTGGAATGAACTCAGGATTTGCGGAGGAGGGAAAAAGGGTGCGCAATAATGCCTTGCTGGCTGGCTTTCTCATATATTGACCGACGAACTTTCTGTGTTGGAGTGGAACTCAGCTAGCTGCCAAGAGCAATTTCTATTACGGAAGAGGACTGGCGTGCTTCGTCTTCTAATTTTTTAAAAAAGTAAGGTGGTTGTAAGCAACTTCTCTTCCAGTTCCCATCAAAGCAAAAAAAAAACCTACTATATAATGAAAAACCCCAATTCATCAATGTGCATTAACAGGAAAAACACAACAAAAGCTTGCTTTGGCTTGCAAATATGGAAGAATCGCAAGAAGCTGCTGAGGAAGAAATATCTCCAGAAGAAGATGAGGAGCTGCCTCTGTTGAAAAGGGTATGGCAGGAGAGCAAAGTGATGTGGGTAGTAGCAGCTCCGGCCATATTCACTCGAGCCTCTACCTTCGGCATCAACGTCACGAGTCAAGCTTTTGTTGGTCATATTGGCTCCAAGGAGCTTGCTGCCTTCGCTCTCGTCTTCACTGTTCTTATCAGATTCGCCAATGGTGTTCTGGTATATATATGATTTCCTAAATTTCCCTCCTTTCTCGGATCCTCTTTATTTATTTCCCGAATGAGTTCTCCAATCTTGGAATGACGATGTCAATCTCCTGTTTGATAATATTCTCTTGTATCTAGTTCGGGATGGCCAGTGCATTATCCACTCTAGTTCGGGATGGCCAGTGCATTATCCACTCTGTGTGGGCAAGCGTATGGTGCCGGAAGATATGGCATGATGGGAGTGTACCTTCAACGATCATGGATTGTCTTATACTTCACTTCGTTCCTTCTTCTTCTTCTTCCCCTGTTCTTCTTCACTACCCCAATCATCATGAGGATGTTGGGCCAAGATGAAAGCATTGCAGATGTCGCAGGAACTATTTCTCTCTGGTCCATCGCCGTTGTTTTTGCCTATGTTTTTGTCATTTCACCTTCACCTTCCAGACTTTCTTGCAATCTCAAAGCAAGAAGTCGTTATACTCATTCTCTATTCTTGGCTGCTTTCTCTTCCATCGCTATTCACATATCGCTGTCGTGGCTTTTGACTATAAAGTACAAGCTCGGGATACCTGGTGCGATGATTTCAAACAATTCTTGCATATTGGATCCCCAACATTGGGCAATTTATATTTGTCACATGTGGTTGGTGTCCTGAAACC